ATAGGAAATGGGTCCATTGTCTATGTTACAGTGCGCTCGAGGTAGGTGGAAAATTAGAAGGTAACATGTTGATATACAGTCTCTAGAGCTACCATCGGCTCCCCTCTTGGACTGATTTAGCACTTGCAAGTAGCGGAGCTGCTGAATTTCGATGGAATCTCGTTGTTTTGAGCCTAGCCATCGTGTTTCATGTGTTAGATTAGTGTCCTTCCACTGGCAGCATCATCACTGCCCATCAACCAGATTTCATTCTATTTTAGGAGACTCAGGAGCCCATGTAACCTCCTCATCGCACTGCTATCTCTTAGCGACGTTATGCATTCGTTCGCATACTTAATTTTCACTATAACATATAATTGGTCAGTTTTTACTTGATTTTTTTCCATGTCTTGCTGCTGACCTGTAAGTATTTTGCTCGTCCAAATGGTGAATGAGCCTGGAGGGACTCAATTGGTCGTTCACAAATCTGCTTCAATTTGTAACGTAAATTTGAATATCACAGTCGATACGATTGCTTTCGTTGCTGATCGGTGCTGTCACTGCACGCCATGAAGGACAAAAGTTCGACTATAGCTAACCCGGCTAACACCACGCTTCCCTCCTTCTTTGACAATTTTGTGGAGATCGGCTCACGCTCCACTCCTACTTTGAAAAAAATAATAGCATTTTGTACACGAACTTTGACACAGGACTAACACGGCAGTGCGAATGGTATCCAGTGATAGTCGCAGCTTACATCTTTGATTGGAAGGGTCGATTTTTGTTCTCTTTCTTAGATATGATTACCCAGTAAAGGTTCAACTGTTAGACAACCAAAGCATTCGACGTACTCACAAATGTTCCGAGCGATGGAAACATCATTATCAGGTGTCGTCATAAGTTGACCTATCTCTTCACAGAGATGTCATTAGTTGAGAATTCAAAGTTACTGGCGGTCGGTTAATTTTTGTTGCAAATAATATGTATCAAACAAAGGGGATCCTTCATTGAGTCACAAACCTTACTGGGTAGCGGTTGCAGATAATAGCAAAATCCCTATCTGCTTATCGTATTGCCGCTAATGGGTCCCAATCATTGCACTTACCACTCACTTTGTCACCCTACCCTACCATCCCGTCCTATGGAATGAAATATGCTGAACGGTCAAAGCTACATCGTATGTACCGAAAAAGTTAGGTTAGGATTTTGATCGTTAAGTGACCTCTCTTAGGTCTTCTCTTACTAGTTATTACCGGTTCCTGCCTCCCAGTACCTATGATCCCGTCACATCCTTCATCTCTTATTCAAATACCGATCACTTGTTAACACGAAAAGTGTAACCCTACCAAACTTGAACCCTCGAGGGCCACGTAAACAGGAGTATGAATTGGCGATCCAAAATTACCATGGCGGATGCCCCGCCCCCTGTAGGCGGTGCTGCCTGCCATGAGTATACCATCCTGCCGCCCGTACTCCTACCAAATTTGAACTCTCTAGGTCCACGGGAACAGGATTTATAAGTTTCCCATCGAACACACACCGATACACACACGCTCAAACACACCGGCAAACCAACAGACACACTTAGCGAATTATATTAGGTTGGCAAATAAGTCCTGCGACAAAATGGAGACCTTTTTTCAATCATTTCCAAATTTTTTCATATTAATCAGTTTTCGGAA